ATGGTGAAGCAAGTACAGGATGATGTGGTCTTTGAATGGTAGCTTGGGGGATGTCGATACTGGTGTCGCTACCTAGAACAAGTAGGTTGATCGCCGATAGTGGTGATGGTCAGGAGACCCCAACGAGCAAGAGATTGGGTCGCCGATATTGGTGACGTGAGAAAATGGTATGTGTGTGTGTCCTATTAGGGGTCGAGAGATGGAAGATTGAGTGTTGGTCGCTGATGTTTGTGATGAGTGAGGACATGTGAGCTCATAGTGTGACCGCGGAAAGCGGTCACGTTTGATTTGCAGTATAACTAACTTAACCGGACAAGTTGAGTTGGTATGGTTCTTGGGTGGTGTTAAAGCAGGACTTAGATTGTATAGATAACCTATGGGCATACCGGGTTTTCGGTTGTCGTATGTGCTACTAGTAACTATAACTAGAGTTCGGGATAAGTTAAAGATGACTAGTTCTAGGGTGATTTATAGTTGTGGCTTAAGTTGTGTAGATGAAATGCATGTAGACATACTGACTTTCTTATTATTGTATATTATACCTGCCACTTGATTTTTACCATATTGAGTTATGTGAACTCACTTTTTTATCATTAACAGATGAAGTAGATATGGAGCCGGGATCTGAGTTGCTGGTTTATGAGCCTAATCTATAGCGCCGCAGGGCAAGGATTCTCTTTGTGGGCGGATTGTAGTGTGTAAAAGTTTATGTTAATAGGAATAATGTTTGTCAGAGGTGTATGAGATTGTCTTATCATGTGATGTATATGTAGGATTGCAAGTTTACACTGAGTTTGAATAATGAAGTGTGGATAAGTTTCTTTATGTGTGATTGATTTGACATGAGACTTGCATGTTGGGTCATGAAATTGTCTTAGATTGCGCCGTTAAAGAAAAAAAAAGGGGGCGCTACAATTGGTATCAAAACAAACTAAGAATACTACTAATTGGTATAACTATTCTGTAGGTGGATCAAGGGAGGTGACGAAGAAAGGATGGGGCCGACCCCGTCGTGAATATGCTCCGGGGGCGCAAGGCTCACCAGGAGCCCCTCGACGAGCACCAGGGTTCCACCAGGTGCCACTCACCACATTTCAAAGGCCGCCCCCGTACCACACCGTGCCCCTTTCCGTGTAGCCGAGACCCGCTCTTGGTCCATCGGCAAACCAGGCAAGGCAGGCCGGCGTGCAACATGAGGACTTTAACGGGCTTTGCAGAGTAGTTGAGAGTCTGGCTATGATGATCAGAGATAGAGAATTACGGTCGGAGACAGCCTCGGTGCCACAACAGGGAGTTCATCAGGGTATAGTGGATACAAGCAACATTGAGAAATACCGAAGGCTAAACCCTCTGCTTTCAATGAGGGTTTCAACCCATTAGTGGCGGAAGATTGGATAAAAGAGACAGAAAAACTATTTGAAGTGATAACTGTGACCACTGAACAGAAGGTACAACTGGCTATGTTCATGTTCAAAGGATTCGTCGAGCGCTGGTGGAAATTGAAAAGGAGAGCCCTGATCCCCCCAATCACTTAGGAAGTGTTTCTAGAAGCCTTCAATGCAAAGTATTTTCTAGATTTCTTAAGGCAATGGAAAGAAATAGAGTTTTTCGAACTTAGACAAAGAAGATTGTCGGTGGTGGAATATGCTAAGAGATACATAGATTTGGGTTGGTTTGCGCCCGAGGTTATGATGAATGAGGCAAAAAAGGCTCGCAGGTTCGAGAAGGGGTTACGGTCGAAATTGTATTATCAGGTGGCTGTGTTTGCGTTACCCACATATCAAATGATATTGGAAAAGACACAATTAGTAGGGGCACTGTATAAAGAATAGGTTGAGAATAATAAGGGATCTTCCACTTATAGACGCCCACCACCATCATCCGGCCAAACAGAGAAAAGGTAGAGGATGGCACCAGATTCCGCTCCAAGTCATCAGGTGTCCCTGAGTAATCTGAATTGCACGCAGGGCGGTAAGAATCATGGGGATCGACCATGTATGAGTGGTGGTCGGGGCTGCTATCGGTGCGGGAACACTCAACATTTTGTGTGGGATTATCCTTTGCCGAGGGAGCCTGGTAGACCGTTAGTTCAAGGACGAATGTTTGCCATGACAGTGCCGGAAGCAGCCACTACTTCAGAAGTAATACAAGGTATACTTTACATTTCAAATATTCCTACTAGAGTACTAGTTGATCCTAGTGCCACACATTTATTTGTATCACTTAGGTTCGCGTCTAGAATAGGGAGGGAACCTTGGGTGTTGGATTGGGTATTATTAATAGCTACGCCAACCAATGGTGCTTTATGTACCGATGTAATGTTTAACTCATGTAGCGTAGAAGTAGAAGGGAGAAAGTTTAAGGTAGATTTAATTTTACTAGACATCAAGGACTTTGGTGTGATACTGAGGATGGATTGGCTTGCGGCACAACATGCTCATGTAGACTGTTTCCGTAAGAGGGTAGTGTTTAAGATCCCTAACAAAAAAACGTTTTTCTGTATGGGGAAAGTAAATGAATAAATGAAGTTTTGCGTTAACATAATGTGTTAGAAAGCATATATATATACATATGAGTTACAACTTTATCTATGTCCTTGATAGGGAATGGGAGTAAGAGGCTGACACTTCAAGAGATACCAGTGGTAAGAGATTTCCTGGACGTTTTTCCAGACGACCTTCCGGGACTGCCCCCCCAATAGAGAGGTCGAGTTCACCATAAAACTCTAGCCCAATACCCAGCCAATCTCCAAGGTCCCCTACAGGATGGCAAGATCAGAATTGTTGGAGCTAAGTAAACAGTTACAAGAGTTACTGGATAAGAAATTCATCCGGCCGAGCGTATCACCGTGGGGGGCCCCGGTGTTGTTTATGAAGAAAAAGGATGGGACTATGAGAATGTGTGTTGACTATAGAGAACTGAATCAAGTGATAATAAAGAATAAGTATCTGTTACCAATGATCAACGACTTGTTTGATCAGTTGCAAGAGGCACAAGTATTTTTAAAAATAGATCTGCGTTCGAGGTATCACCAACTACGGGTTAGAGCAGAAGACATTGCTAAAACAGCATTCTGCACCAGGTATGGGCATTATGAATTTCTAGTGATGCCTTTTGGATTAACGAATGCTCCCGCAGTGTTTATGGATTTGATGAACCAAGTATTCAGACCTCTGCTGGATCGTTATCTCATTATCTTCATAGACGACATATTGATTTATTCAAGGGATTCAGTGGAACATGCAGAACATCTCGATACCCTATCTAATATGACCGGTTTTGACTAGTTTTGGCCAGTTTCTTGAATTTTTCTGCGAAGATTAAAACACGTTTCACGTACATAAAAATACTCCAAAAAACCTAAAATCGGCGTTTTTTCGGCCAATTTCAGAATTCTGGCATAGCGGCACTCCTGTGCTTTGGCGACGGCACCGACACCCACAACGGTAATTTGTCTCGGCCTGACCGTTTTCGACTAGTTTTGGCCGGTTTTGACTGATTTTATACCCATCCGTGCGAGAAAACACATTAGGGCATATCGGTTGGCCGAAAAGGTCAAAAAAATAAAAATCTACCGGTGGCGGGATTTTTTGGTGCAGCAGCTCCGTCAGCTCACCTTTACAATTGAGTATTTTTCTTCGGTCAACCTGTAGAAAATATAATGGTGAACACAATGGTGGAAAAATCGCACGAAATGGGAAACAATAAGGGGCTCATCGGAGGCAGTTTCGAGTTTTGCCCGCGGCGGCATCGTTGGACTTTTTCCATAGTTTTCGGCTCATCCGCTATTCTTTTTACTCCGATTTGGCCATGGAGGTGCTCGGAATCAAATTTTGAGCGGATGAGATAGTTTTTACCTTTTTTGGCGGTCGGATGTGACTTCGGCGCAGCGACGGGCGACAGTTGGCTTCCTTCTCCGGCGACTGGTTCTTCTTCTCCAGTGGGAGGCTGGCGGCTAGGGTTTGGGTTCGGTGTGATGCGAGATATTTATACTCGTCTCCCTTAAATTTGGATTATTCATCGCGTTTAATCTCAACAATCTGATTACGTTTAAAGAAGAAATAAATCTGGATCGTTTCATCGCAATTTGATCTCGACCGTACGATCACGTTTAAAGAGGAAACGAATTTGGGTCGTTCATCATGCCTGATATGAGGGAACATATCTGGATCGTCCATGCGTGCGAGAACGCATCTGAACCATCCGATTGCGAGCACGCGGATTGCCAGTGGCCTCCCGCATGGCATCGAATCAGTGTGCCTTGCCACGCGATGCGCTCCGGTTCGTCGGGACTGTTGACTGGGTGATTCTACATGGCGTAATTTTTCTTAATTGCATTTTGATCTTTAGTTTCTGATTTTTCTTTTAAAAATACTATCCGAACGTATTTCCAAAATTATTTTCAATTTCATCCTCAACCTATTTTTTTTTTTTTTCTTAATTTTACATTAAACAAAATTTATAAATTATATTTTTATATATTTTTTTAAACTTTAAAATTAATTCCGGATCAAATTACGAATTCGGATATTACAAAAATGATAAATTAGTGAAATAGCTAATAATTTTTTTAAAATTTTAAATTAATCTTTTTTTAATAATTTTATGATATACGATAAAATAAATATATAATTAAAAAAACCCGTATATATGTTTCCTTATAAATAATTAAATTACTAACTATCAAATTAATCAACAATTTCTATCAATTTATACCTGATGGAGTTAATAACCAACTTACGTGACAACATGGAGGGAGATTGCATGTCTCCTTGATAAGAAGCTACCAAGCAGAAAACTCAACAATTCCATGCATACATTAAATACAAATAATAATCTTCGTGTAAATCATGAAACGCCACAATGTGCCGCATTGAAAACTTGTTCCTATATAATTATGCCAAGAAACAACAAATGGGTCCTCATGATATATAGTGTCCAATTTTATTCTAACCCAAATGGACAACCAAATTTTAGAGTCCCCCTCCATTTTGCATCCATATGTGTATACATACATACATGTATATATCTATATATATATATATATATGTGTGTGAAGACCCATTTGTTCATTTTGATTTGCTCATACTACGCGTTTGTCCAAAACTTTGATGATCAATGTCACCAAAAGTGAGACCATGGCATGAGTAAATGGCTCAAGTTTCTTGTTTTCATTAAAAAAGAAAATGACCCATAATCAAAATGTTAAGAAATACAATAAAATACTCACAACAATATTTTATATATATATATATATATATATATATATTGTAAAAAGTCAAGAGAAAATACACTCGCTGAAATATATATTTATAAAACAAAAAGTGAAATTATAAAAAAATTAATTGTATTAAATTCATTTGATGTAAATGAGTTGCCTTATATAAACGTAGAAATCATATTTCTTATTACTAATTTTTTCACTAATCAAACCATGTTCGTTTATTTTTTACTATTAACTTTCATACTCACTAAATCATGTCTTTTATTACTAATTTTTTTAGTGATTAAATCATGTTTTTTTATTCTTTATCACTAACTTTTTTATTAACAAGTATTCAACAAGTTTATTATGGTATATATTAATTTGATATTGTAACTTTAACAATATATACATTATAATTTAAAAATATTACATATCAAATTATAACAAATCTCTTTTTTAGTTTTATCTCCTTTGATGGGTAAGTTTATATGCAGCTTAATTTTGTAGCTGCAACTACCGTAGACACAGAATTTCAAATTTGGAAACTTGTCTGAAATGTTAGCCACAAGAGGGAGTCTAACAAATGACATGTTTGGAATGTGAAGAAAATTTTAGGCGTATTTTTTATTTTTCTGACTGAACATGTTGTCTGAATTTTTCTGAGCACTTGCCAAATGTTAGAACCGCTTGAGTTCATTGTTATCCATGAAAATCTTGAAATAAGGTCTCTTTGTTTGTAAATTGGGACTACCATGGAAAAGACACCATGCCAAACGAGGTTTATATGGGTCCCTATTGATTTTGTACAATATATATATGTATGTATGTATAGTTTAAAATTCATAATTATTTTAAGTGATAGTGATAAATAATAGTGATGGGTTATGTATATCCCGAATGTGTGTTATTGTTATGAGGTGGTTTTGGTTTTGAATATTTTTATATGGATTGTATTATTATTAGTGTATAATTGTAATCATAATTAATAAAATATATAAATTTTGTAATTTATAAAAGAATCTGACTAATAATATATATATATATATATGTTTTATTTGTGGGTTGTTGTCCTTTTTATATTATATTTCAACATAACATAAATATGATTAAAATTTGAATAAAAATAATATTTTTAGTTTGAATTTAATTTTATATCTACTTTAATTAGACCATATAAAATACGAACAGATTAATTTCATTGCATTTTATATTTTAAATAATTAAAATTCAAAATTAAAAGAAAATAAAATTAATTTAAACTAAAAAATCTAAAACGTATTTTAGTAAATGATTTTAATGGAACCTTAGAACAAATTAGGATATTAGAAATTTTAAAAAAAAATTATGCACAAAAAAAAATAATTATCCTCAATAAACTCCATAATTATCAGGTGGACCCTACAGAGCCTCCTTAATTCTATCTCGTGATCGTAACTCCCGACAACTGCGCGATGTTCTTCACGTGGCACGACCTCGGACCGTTGGTGACGTTAGACTGTTGACCTAAGCCTCAGAGGGACATGCGAATGGACACGTGTCAGGAAAATTGGCGGAGTCAGTTAGGGGGACACGTGGCAGACATTCACTGCTTAAAGGGAAAATCGGAAGCTTATCCATTCTCACGTTTAACAAAACTTGTCAATCGCCAACAGGAAAAAGTGAATGCGGTCCGCTTTAGTTTATTAGGTTGGGCCCACTGAAGATTGGGCAGAAAATATTAATGGGAAAAACCCGTGTTATCCTTTGCGTTTTGCTAATTATGCTCAAACGTTGTCGTTTTGGATTGTACTTCTTTTTATTATTATTATTATTATTTTTTAGATGGACTTTTTATATTATTTTTATTTCATAAATAACTATATGTGTATATATATAGATCTTATTATTATTGAAAAAAATCCAGGTTGCCAAGTCCTTGATGAGAATAAATTCCAAATACCTGATTGGGGAAAGAAGAAATATTAGCTTTGAAAATGGTGGGTCATGTTTAATCACCATCTTTCAATTCAATGCACAAAAGGAGACTCTAATCAGCCCTTCATATGATTATATATATATATATATTATAATTCGTAGGGTTACAATTTTTATAATACATATACACATGTATGTTATAATAAAAGAGTATGATTAGTCGTGAAACTGCTTCCAAGAATAACATGCAACATAGTCGTGGATGAAAAGTGAACTCAGACGTTGAAACTCCGGTCTATTTATGTGTGTGTGTATATATATATATATATATATAAGCACCCAAAAGCTCCAAATGTGATGGAACTTATCAAATTAGCTTTTTTAAGTTGACTCTTTATACCTAATTATCCATAAGCTTTTTACCCACAAGGTTAGAGATTAGTGTGCTCGACGATTGGGATTCGGTAGTCAACTGGCGAGCTGCATTTTAACTTTAATGGTAGAATATGTATGATGTTCTTGTTTTGTGTGCGTGTGTGTGTGTATATACACTATATAAGCTTTTTACCCACAAGATTTGAGAAAACGTAATCAAGTCAAGATGGACCCATTGAATTGTTGAGAATTATTTCAGTCAATGATAAAGATAGTGATATTTAAAACTTGAATATAATCTTTATCACCAAGGTCATCTCTTTAATTAATCTCTGAAAGATTATCATTAAGCTTCTGGTAGTTAAATGAAAACAGAGGTAATAAAAATAAAAGCACTGATGTTGGTTACCCATAAAGATAGCTTGTTTAAGGAACTTGTTCTTCACCTTTCTTCTGAACTGGTTTAGTAGTTTGGAAAGAATTTTTGTATTGGGTTTGAATGACAATTAAAAAAGAAATTTTGAAGAGTTCATCCCACTATTCTTTCTCCTATCAATGCAGAACACTTTTAATCAAGTGAAAAACTATCAAAATCATTAAAATTGCAAACGTCTCCAAGGCCTAAAGCTTTTCTCCGCTTCAAAGGCAAGAAGCTCTCTGAAGTTCACAATACCAAAACCGGCCAATTCGTATTTAAAAAACCAGGTCCATTGTCTGGGTTCAGTCATAGCTGCCCTGCCCGCGAACTCTTTGTACTTGCTTCATCAAAAGCATCGCGTGGATTAAGTTAATAGTCTGCTCAGAACCGTAGGTATTCAGCATTTCAGCTGATAAGATATCCAGATTCTTCTGATGAAAACCGCAGTTAAATGAAGAATTGCCATGTAGAGTGGCATACATCATAAAAAGAAAATAGCCCTTTGATCTGTCCAACTAAACTGCCAAATTTACAGGTAGTTTAACAAAATCTCCCGGGTACAGGGAAGATATTCCGAGTCAAATTACAGTAGCCCTAGAGAAACAAAGGAGCATGGATAGCACACTTCATCAAGAAGCAGCCCATCCTTTTCATGCAACTCAAAATCCTAACTGCTAAAGATTTCTGATCGATAACTAAACACAGAGAAGCGGACGGCAAAGAGATATCACACTGCCCTACAAGTTAATTTACTTTATGGTGATGTAGCGATTTGTTCCATGTCTAGCCCAGTAGTTCTTGAGGTCTAGTGGGATTGCCAGATCGTGCCCCTCACCTGCCAGACGACTAAGCAACCTCGTAAAAACACTGCCACTCATCTTTCGCCCACCTACTCGAGCATGGCGCTTATTTGGCATTTGTGGTAGTGGGTATGATGACATGGTGGTGGTGCAACAAGATGATTGCCAACCACCGCTTCCCCATTTGTAGCATTGACGGGGAACTCCTGTGCATGAACAAACCGGCACTGGCATTGTGGTCTCATCGAAACTGACCAGGTTCAACCCTACGTCCTGACTATCCCATTCAGATCTACATTTCTTCCCAGCAGAAGCTACTTGCTTGTTCAAATCCTCACCCACCTTCTTAACCTTCCGTGGTGACTTCAAAGGCTTCGCCGTAACAGCATTGTTCTCCTTTGTTCTTTTTGTTTGGCGTGACTTGGCGGCTTCAGCAGCAATGGTTGTTATGGGGAAGGCATCGGTCACTTGAATTTCTCCTGTGCTCAGACCTTCAGTCATATCAGAAGAATGACATGCAGAGTGGTTTGCACGCTTTCCTCCCCGCTGAACAGCAACCAAAGGAAAATTGATGGAATTTTCCCTATACTGAAGGGCAGCTAAGGCATTGTCTCGCTCTGCAAGTGCATTATCCCTCTCGGCAAGTGCTTTATCTCGCTGCTGGAGTGCCTCATCTCTTGCAGCCAAGGCTTCCCTCTTTTCAGATAGTGCTTCATTCCTCTCTCGGATAGCAGCATCTCTCTCAGCAAGTATGGACATAATCTTCTTGTTCATGACTAAGGCATTATTTTGCTCCTTCACTTGATGCTGGGGCATCATATTCCACTGCATATATAAATAATAACAGCTGAGACAAGTGCACCAGTAAAAAAAGGGATGCCAACAAGGATTATCATTTATTAGAAAACATTTTCCATTTTAAGGCTGTTTCTATTCAAACCGTCGAGTGTGTCCCCTTGTAATAATCCAGCTTATACCGCCCGTTTTCATATTGCCCATTGTTATCCATTCTAATAAGCAAAGAGGAACCGTCTTCAAGCTGCTCTCTGAAGCTCAATGCTTAGAATTTCAATCAATCAATTCCAGAGAGAGAAACATGTTTCTGTTTTCAGATAATAGGAACAAAAAATTGAATGTCAGATCAACATGCAAGCAAAGGAAACAAGTGATTTCACCACTTATCTTAGAAAGAGAAAGAAGCAGCAAAAATCAGCACAACTATATAGCTCCAGAAAATGACTACATAATAACCATGCAAAAAGCAGCCGTTCCGAGAGAATAGAACCAAGGTTCATATCATCAGGAAAACCAGGTTTCAAAAATAGTTATTAACAAAACTACGAGTACAAACTTGATACAATGACAATAGGCAACTAGATAAATGTACGGTACAAGAGAAAAGCTGGTCTTGAGAGGAAAAATTCCATCCAAACGTAACTGAGCAATTGCAAACATTCAGTTTGCTTCAAGGTTCATCATCTACATACAAATAAAGCATCATTACGCTATATTTGGAATAAATTAAGAAATTTCATGAAATCCATTTGTAATCCTATTTAATTCAATTAGAAAAGGATGTAAATTCTATTAGAAATGATATGAAACTAAAGTTCCGCCATCTTCTGGTTGAGCTAAGTGTGAATTGCAAATAAATTCCATAAATTTCTTAATTTGGTTTAAACATAGCCTATATATAAACATTTTTTAAATTAAAAGAGACTTCAAGCTTGTTACAGCTCAACAGATTGATGTTAAGTTATGTTTGGAACAAATTCCAAATTTGTGTACAATTCATTTATAAATCCATACATATTTAAACCAGAGGATGAAAGTCCTATCTAAAATGACAAAAATTAAACTTAAATGGAATTTCATGTCAAATTAGAACAATAAATTCTAAATTCTAATTAATTTTGGTGAGCTCAAGTTTTATCATCTCCTAATACACTTTGCATATCTTATAGTTAAAATAAATATGGATTTGACATGACTTCTATAAAAGTATAGATTTGTTCCAAACAATAACCTTAACAAAAGAAGTATCTTTTATGTGGAAGAAATAGTAAGTACAACATGTTAATTGGTCAGACATCTTAAAAGTAAATAACTAAAATCCTTCAGTTAGGGATTTAGTTTGGGGTGTCTACAATTGAGTCTGGATCAAAAAAGAGCAAAATACACTGAATGGACCGGGCCAAACTAGACCAAATTGGTCGAAAGGTGGGAGGACTAGAAATTTCGGTCTAGTCTGGTGGGAGTATGGTTGCAGGAGTGAAACCTTAAAGAATCAACAAAAGGGCAGAAATATGAGAGCTTAATTTGACTTAATGTGGAAAAACATACTAGGTTCAGACATAATAAGGATTGACAGATTGAGAAGTAGAATTGCAGCTTAATGTGAATTAACACGAGAGTGCTTTTTAGATCCAGATATAGCAAGGTTGACAGATTTAGAGCTCTTTCTAGATCCTTTGAGCAGTGGTGCATAGTCATTCTTAGTTAATGAAACATTTGTTTGGTTAATTCTGTCAATTCCCTTGAACCTACTAACTAGCTCCATGGTGGTAACCATGAATGACCAACTTCTAAGAGAGATTATGATTGCTTAGACCAAGAAAGTTTGAGGCAGTAACAAGCCTGTGATGCTCTTAGATGTAATGGGCCGCATGCACGATATAAACTGATGTATTCGACGAGTTCATAATAGGCGAAGAATCAAGTAACCTTCGAAATTTCAATGTGATGGGAAATCATTGTAATTATTGGTCTTCAATGAGAAATTCCTAGTAAAAATGAATCACTGGTTTGCACTGCTTACATTCCCTGCCCCTTGATACATATCGTCCATCACACCTATAAATTGAATGGTCTAGTTAAATGTTTGGATAAACAGAGATTTGTGCGGCTTACCACCACCAACGTTCTAAGAAGTCCATCAATCTTATCTTTTAGAGGAACTAGAATTTCTACCAAATCTTCCCAAGATAAACCTACAAACAGATCATTTTTGAAGCCCTTATAGCATAACAACTTGAGAATCAATTGCGATAGCCGGGAAAAAAAGGCTCCCAGGCCTGTTGTCTCCGGCATAACTAGGGCAAAAGCAGTACCTCCTCCCCATCGTGTCACCGCGAAGAGGGATACAAATTTCTCTTTTCCCATGCACAGTTAATACAAACCTCAGAGCGGAAAGCACAAAGGAACAAAAACAAAAGAAGACTCGTCCATTGCATCATGTTCAGTGCACACGGGATGATGTGCTGCCTTCTAAAATCAAAAGCGGCTCTCAATGATGGATATCTCAGCAACAAATCAAAATTTTCTAAAATATTTAAATACATTCTAATTAAAGATTGATAATAGATGAATTATTGTTTGTTTTATTAAATCTCATTAGCTATCCTGTCGTAAGCTCATTGTAAACATGAATCTGTTTAAGTATTTGGTAATTTTAGGTGGGACGAGCAAGCAGGTTGACTAAATTGAGAGGGCAGGGCGGAACAGGGCAGGGCAGGGCAGTATTTATTTATGATTAAAAGAATAAATCTACTCGAGACAATGCTGGTTTCGTTTCACCGTAAACCCATGTGGTGCGGAAAAGAAAACCAGGGCAGGTCCAGGACAACATATTCTCTGCCCAGGGTGGGTCCAGTTTTGGCAAAACATGAACCGTTGTCATCCCTAGATCCCTCGGTACCTTTTAATACATATGCTCTTTTCTCTAAGGAAGAAAATCAATACCTAAAAGACTTTAAATAGCACAGAGAGCTACCCAATTATATTCACATGATCAGTAAATCATAGCATTTAGCTTACCTTCATATCCCAATCATTATTTTTTTCTTTAATTAAAAAAGTTCCATTTCAAATCCACTCCTTGCATTTAATTGTTAGAATATAATGGTTAAAATTGAACATTTTCTGTCCACTTAAAACTTTAGGCATTTCTGGTCAATAAACCAATTATTTAACATATCGGAGCAAGTTATCTGAGTTGAGACCCTAAACTCTCACCCTTTCTTTTTATTTAACCATTAATCTATTTGGCTACTACCATTGAATTTTCTTTTCATGTCCAGACCTTCTATCTGGTTTGGCTTGCTAGTGATGTCTTTGAGCGTGAACTATAAATGGAGGCACTTTCCTATCACCCAAAAAACTATTTAACACAATCTTCTCTTTCCTCACTGGTAATATACTATACGTTTTATTCGGGAAAAAAAAGGAGATGAACTACAGAAACTAACATGTATCACATGCTAAAAACAAAAGCTATAAGTCCAATATCACCACTAAAACCCCACCTTTTCAACACCAACCGTCCCTTCTTAACCTAAAAAATACTACGTTAGCAATTTTACAAGCAAAACAACTGTAAGTATCTGAAACACTCGCATACTAAGCTTTAAAAAGAAGAAGAAAGAGATTCAATCTTTCAGATACCAGTTTGCTGTGTTCATCCACAAAAGATATCCGTAATTACACATTAACATGTCAAGTTAAACCCATTTCTCAAACTTTTCTGAAGCAAAAAAGAAACAAACATAATCGATCATCCATGAATTGCAGCAACCGTAAAAGGAAAGGTAAATTTTGACTACGAAAAAGTTCTGATTTAGAGTAAAATTAGGGTTTTTGTACTTTAGGCACAGAATCGAAAGGCAAAAACTTCCAGACCACAAGAAAACCTAAAAATGCTTGAGACATAGACGAGTGCATTTTGATAATTACAGCTTCAAAGAGATAATAACGGGAAATTGAAGATTAAGAGAGACGAAAGAACTCACAGATTTGCATTTTATTGAAGAAACGGACATCGATTTGAAAGGAGAGAACCTGAAAGTATGAGAACAAAACGAATGGATAGTCACAGAGATGAGTGGGGTGGGAGGTTAACATGAGGGAATTGATAAAAAGCACCCCATAGTTTCGTACATATTTTAAATTTACCCCATAAAGTTTGATATCAACCCATCATCCGTCAATGAGAATACGTTAGTTTAAACGAAATTTAAAGTACAGAAATATCCATGAGGCAAATTAGGGAGACGCCGTTCTCTCTTCTTTCTCTCTCTTGTTTCACAACCTGAGCAAAATTTCTGAAGCTCGATTAGTTCAAGGGTTTCTCCCGCAAACGACATCGTTTAGGGCGGCTTTTCCGAACTATGTCCGTTTCTGGGTCTTCGAGTTTTCTTTTTTTTT